GATGCTTTTCTTCTAACTGGTCGGTTGAGTGCCAGGCGTAACTCCCTGGGCAAAGCTCAAGAGGCGAAGGATTCAAATCCCAGATTTGGTGAAAGATCCAAACGGCGTCAAGACACCGACACCGACAGAAATGACAGAGTTTCCTGGGAGCGCCATCACCGGCAAACCAAGGGCGCCATTTTTTGGGGTGAACGGGAGGTACCGGAAGCTGATGCTACACTTAGGGTCCTACATGGGATCGTTCTCAGTGTGGTTCATGGATGGGCTCACTTTCAAGTCTTTGCTCAGGACCTTCTGCCAAACGACCGTGCTGAGAAACGTTAGTGTGGATGGTCTCCTCAGGCTGAGACTCCTTTGTCCCCCTGAAACCTTGCTTCACCCAGAGACAGCCTGACCCACTGCCAGTTACACCAAGTTCCCAATCCACCTACACGCTGTGTTCCAGAAACCCATCTAAATGTACGTGAAGATCTATTTCCCCATAAAACAATGTTATAAATGGTGATCGGGTTTCATCAATACCCTTCTATTTCATGGTGTGGCTAGACCACAGGACACAGAACCAGTCCACCATTTAGAACATGATTTCAACATTAAAAAAAAAAAAAGTTTTCTCCAGAAAGCTCCAGAAGTTTAAAAAAAAAAAGTGCTCTCTATAACCCAGTTTCTGCAATGGACCATATTGAGGATGATGATAAAACACTTGTATGAAAGTCTGCTTTCAGGAAATTTCTAACGACAACCTAATTTCCTCTTTAAAACAACACCATTAAGGGATACCTGGGCGGCTCAGTGGGTTAAGTGTCTGCCTTTGGCTCAGGTCATGGTCTCAGGGTTCTGGGATCGAGCCCTGCATTGGGCTCTCTCCTCAGCCTGCTTCCTCCTCTCTCTCTGCCTGCCTCTCTGTCTACTTGTGATCTCTCTCTCTCTCTGTCAAATAAATAAAGTCTTTTAAAAAAAACCCACAACACCATTAAGTAAATACTATTATTATTCCTATTTACTGTGAAGGACATGCCCTGGGAAGCCACGTGGTTGATACGCAGCAGAACCAGGATCCGATGCTGCATACAGTCCGTGGGCTGAACCAGGGGTTAAACCATGGCTCATGGGCCAAATCTGGTCCATCACGTTTTTACAATAATGTTTTATTAGCACACAACTGTGTCCCTTTCTTACATCTTGTCTGTGGCTACTTTGGTGTCACAAAGGTATAGCTGAGTGGTTGTGACAGGAACCTAGAGGCCTGCAAAGCCTAAACTATTTATTATGTGACACTTTACAGAAAGCGTGCTGGGCAGGGGCTAACAAACCATTTTCTGGGCCATGTGTCTCTCTAGCGCTGGCCATGAGCCTCATCGCAGGGGACGGGGGCCCAGAAGCGGGAGGAAGGAACAGGAATCCAGAATCTTCTCAATTGTGAGGGGACATCCTGGAGAAATCACTGACCAGCACAGGGGGTTATAAAAAGCTTCTTTCTCAAGAAGCTTCCCCCCTCGTTCCCAAAAAGATCTGAAGCAGGGTCCAAAGGTACAGACAGGAGCTCCATGGACATGAGGAAGCTGTTTGCTCTATTGATTGCCGGAGCCTTAGTATTGGACAAATGAACAAATACATAAGCTATGTTTGTGAATCAGGAACTATGTGCGCTTTACTTGAAGATGAATGGGGAACGGGCGCACTGTCCACGAACACTGCACTCAAGGTTCTGATTTGTTTTGTCTTTTAGGCAGATAAACTGCTCAAGGGGGACAATGCATTAGGGAGTCAGGTCATTTCCAACCATCTTGGGATTTCTTTGCCTCCTAAGAGCTTTACTCACTGATCATTCTGTTTGCCGGGCTCTAGAATCAAATGATACATTTGAAATTTTTTCCCCCATGTTATCAAGACAAATGCTAACGTGGAGGCATAGCTGTCAATGCTCATTTGTTTGGATTTTTCTTCCGTCAGATTGAGTGACTTTCGATTTCTGGAAGAAGATTTGAAGACCACAACCTAGCTATTAACTCTTTCTAGAAACCAGGGCTGGACACAGAGAGAATAATCCTGTAGACTCTAGCTGGTGTACAATACCCCGAGTAACGCCCGTTCCTAAAAGGACTAGTCATCATGCTGTATTTCATCCAGACATGAGTCACCATGGAAGTTTAAATTAAAAATTTCAGCTGAATCATACTGTTACCAGAGGGCGGGAAAGTCCTTCTGGAAGAGCGGGTGGGGGAGAAAAGGACTGGGATGATGGAAGGTAAGTCAGGATGGCAAGTATATGGAGAGATGTGGACAGAGAGGCGAGTCTGCAGACACTGGGAAGCAGTCATACCGTGGCCGGGGACGGAGAGGGAGGAAATGGGGCGTGTGTTGGAGAAGCGTCTCCAAAGTGCACCCTGGTGCCAGGCGGCACCCTGTTTGGGAAGGCTGGCTATGACCCAGAACTGCTCAAAAGTGGACACAGCCTTTGTGCCCAGGCATGCTGCTTCCTGACACTTGGACGCTGGGGAAAACGACAAGTTTCACGTTTACAGACCTCAACAGAACACTCCGTGGTTAAGTCCTGCCTGAAATCAGATCTGAATGTTCCCTTTCAAATACAACACAACAGCTGTGGGAAAATTCTCAGCATCTCCTTGACCCCACCATCAAGGGGCTTTCGGCCTGGTCTCCTGCAATGCTAAGGAAATGAACCAATGCAATTCCAGTAAAATCGAAGGATCTGCACAAGGTTTAAAGCAAAAGCTGGGATGTAGTCCAGGCAGGTGCTCTGAGCACAGAAACCGGAAGCTGGACAGCAGAGGCTCATGGCCCTTGCTGCACTTGCCGTTGGGCTGGTAGAACTCCATCCAAAGTACATGGCCAGGAGGGAGCACCACACGCGAGGCCTCTAACGAGCCTCTAGAGAAACGCAATTCTGGCCTCAAGCCCTCTGACCTAGCCCCCTATGCACCGCCCCTTCCCCCCTGCCTTTTTTTTTTTTTTTAATTTGGAGCTCTGACCTTTACAAAAGCTAGACTCACTGCCCAGAAAAACAGGAAGGTTACTCACCAGGAAGCCATGGAAATGAGGCACAAAAAGTGGGTCAATATTTCTCCATCAGCAAAGCAAAGTCTCAGACATTTCCAGGAGTGGCCTCCATTGTGATGCCCCAGTGCAGACCTTCCCTCAACTGGGCTCTATACCAGTAGTTCCCGACCTGCTGGTTTTTGCTAATGACCTACAACTATGGCAGGAAATTCAGCGAGACTCTGTCTAGCTTCTAAGCAATCTCTCCTGCCTGGGACATGGGAGTCGTGCTGGAACTTGGGGTCCCAAAACACTCTGGAAAGGGTCATCCTTCACAGAAGTGGTGTGACGTCAGGGGTGGGGCTCCCGTCCTGAGCTTTGAGGGGGAGGTGGGCATAGACAAGGGAGGAAGTGAAGGAAAAAATAAGGAGAGAAACAGCCTTGCTGGATGTCGGATGTTGACACTGGAAGGTACCCCAGGCCTTAACATATCTTTGCACTTGAATGCCCTAAATACTACCAGGCCCCTTTGGAAAGAACTTCACTTTATACATAAATGCTTTTTTTTTCTCTTGTTTTTTTTTTTTTTTTTTTTTTTTTTTAGGAACAGAGATTGCCAGCTGATTTCTACTGGCTGAAATTGACCTGTGTCTACAGCAATAGAGTGTTTGTCCTATACCAAGCTCTGAGTTTTAATTAGCTGCCAATATTAAAGGGAGTTGGAAGATGTCAGATTAAAAAAAAATTGGCTTTTGGCTTCTCTCGAAGAACCAGGAGATCTGATGGCACAGGACCCTCCTCTGGGCACGGCAATAACCAACTGGCACCAAGGAGCAGTGGTGGCCCCCGGTCCCCACTCCGCTGTCACCATCCTGAGGCCTGCTGCTCGCTGCCATTTAGTTACATTATCTGTGACTCGTTTATGCTCCCCGGGGCACCCAGGCTCACAGCCCTGACCTTAAGCATTTGCCATCAACATCCACTTCCACCAAGTATCAGCCTGCTAAAAGGCACTTTGAACGTTTTTATGTTTTACAGCCTTAAGAATTCATTCCACCTTGATATGATCTGTATGTTTCTTTGGGACAAACCTTCATTTCGGAGAGAGAAACAACAGAGAGAGGAAAAACAAAACCACTGGAATCTCATTAGTGTCGACATTTCAGCAGCAGTTCAGTATCTCTGTGCACGTGCGTGTGTGTGCACGTGCGTGTGTGTGTACACCTGTTTCTTTAGGGGACGGGAATTCCTGCGAATCCTAATTCGCCCAAGGAAGAGAAAGATTCCAAAAAGACTAACCGGTTACACAGACTGTGATGGCTACCGTATCAATCCCTGGAGCAGCCAAAATGCAGGTGATTAGAGAAACAGAAAAAAAATGAAAAACGGTGACCTGGACCATAAGGCAAGTGCTTGGAGAAAAGAGTCTGGTGAGCAGAGACAAGCATGGCCAGAGCGAAGACAACGAGGGAGGTAGGGAGGGCAGAGGCGGAGGGAGAAAGAAGACAGAGGAATCTGGGATGGAAGGCAAACACCGACACTCGATGGGAAGGAGACAGAGAGCTGGCCTTTTCTCCAGATCTGGAGCAGAAATAAAGATGCCGGCCCGAGAGCTTAATTACACCCAAACCACCTCCCAAGTTAATGCCAAAATGTCCTCCTGACATTTGGAGAAGCGCAGCTCTTCTTTCTAATGAGAATACTGCACTTGGAACATGGCCTGTCTCCCCGCTGACGTGCCAGCCAATTTCTTATGCAAAAACCAACCAGGCTTATTTCTGGGATGGCTCTAGTCCCCGTTCGCACCACAATCATAGGCCTAGCATGTTAACACAGCTTGCAAAGGGAGGGAATTGTGCAGCACTTCTGTTTTTAAATAAAGGGGAAGGGGAACACTTAAATGCTGTCCTCCAGCACATGTGACCACAAGACTCAGGCCCAGCCTGAGGCCAAGCTTCCCAAAGGAAAGGTGGTTACAGAAATTTCGCTGACGTTCTCACCTCGAACTTCTGCCTGAGCTCCACGTTGCCTTCTTCATCCCCTTCTGGAATGGGCACATTGTAGTACTCACCTTCCTCTTGGTTAAGCAGCTTGTACCTTTGGGGGACACGGATGGGGAGGGGAGTTAGGAATGCTGGGATTGTACCACAGATACAGCAACTCACTCCTTCAACCTCTGGACGGGCTGTTTCTGAAATAGGTCCGATGGGGACACTATAGCCAGATAACCTCACAGTCAATGGTCATTTTGGATGGACGCCGGTTTGTCTGCTGAATCACCAAGGGCTCTAACGTTTTCGAGACTATTAACCTTTGGTTGACACGTACATATTCAACCTTGGGCAGCCTTACCATCCGCTGGCCGGCATCTTCATCAGCTCCGAGACGCCAAAGGAAAGGGAGCCCATGAAATCATTCCTTGTTGTTCGATCCCAGTCCCAGATTTCTACGGACAGTCGTCGGTCTTTATCCGAAGGCTTTAACTTGCTACAAAAGAGAGAGAGCGTGCGGGTGCACACACACAGACACACAGACACAGACACACACACACACACGGTTATGTAGACCATGGTTTCCTGGGAGCCAAACCCCAAGGTCATGATAGCAGTCCGAGATTAAAAAAACCAACAGTATATTCAATTCACTTCCTGGGGCTCCCCACTGCCAACAGAGTACCAGCCCCCAGGAGCCAAAGCTCTAGACTAGTGGTTGGCAAACCAACACCCACAGGCCAAATCTGGCCCGCTGCTTGTTTTTATAAATAAAGTTTCACGGGAACACAGCCATGGGATTTTGTTTACATATGGTCTATGACTGCTTTGATTTCAGAATCACAGAGTTGTGTGGCTGCAACACAGACAGTATGACCCAGAAAGTCCAAAGTATTTACTAACTGGCCCTCTTCTAAACTTGCCAATATCTGTTCTCTACAAAAGAACTATGTTTCTGGTCATCCAGAGAAACCACTTCCCGTGTTCTCATCTGCAAGGAGGACCACTGGCTTGTGCTCAGCCACAGGTAGTGCCTTCTTACTCCCGGGGGTTTTCTGCCACTCCCTCCCCTCCCATGGCCTCCTTCCTGCTATCTTTTCTACCCTCTCTACCTCTGAAATCCTGGCACTCCTTTAAACCCCATTTTAAATGTCACCTCCTCCAGGAAGTCCTCTCTGTTTAAAGGTGAGGATGATCTTCCCATTTTGGGGGCAAGAGCATGTGACTCCTGTATTCCTTGTCTTACAAATTATTATTCACATTTTTACCTTCCTTCTCCTAGAACGCTCAAAAGAACTCAAGTCCACCAAGAAGTGGGACACGCTTTATACATTTTGACATCATCTTCAACATAAATGCCATTTTTTGTACACAGTAGGTATTGATAATAATTTGGGGCCTGCACTGGATACTTGGTTACCCACCAAAACAGGTGGGTAACATATGTGACAATAGCAACATCTTACCAGTGGTCTGAGGAAGTCTGAGGAATGAAGTGACATTTAAAGACATTTACAATAGGCCTGCCTCATTATCTCTCATGGGGAGGTGGGCAGGTTTGTAATGTGTGTGGAGGGAATTCGACTGGGAAGAGAAGACTTACAACGTAAAAGACTCATTCCACTGGGGGTTTAATGTGGAGCGGATAGTTTTGGTTTTCTGTTTGCTTTCATTCTTGGGATCAGGAATAAGTTTCAGCTTCACATAAGGATCTGAAAGCCCATTTGGATCCATAGGAATTAGATTTTTTGCATCGCGTACTGTGAAGAGAAAAGGAAAGAAGATCAAATGTTATAAAAAGAGAACTGACCTGGGTTGCCCAGTGGCCTGGGTCAAGACCAAGCTGGATGACAGAGACATCAAGATGGTGTTTAAAGGGAGAGGAGGTGAGGACCCAAAGCCTCTGATCTTCGATATGAGAAAAGCTGCCTGCTGTCATTGCTGCCCAGATAACGGGCCCCACGTGGGCCCTGTGGTCAAGCCTTGAGACACAGCGTCAGCCTGGACACCTCAGATCAGAAATGCCAAAGCCTGGGTCCTTCCCCAAAGCTACCACAACAGAATCTGGAAACAAGAACCCCAGGTGCTGCTGGCAGCCCTTCTCCAGAACTGGTTGTGTGCCCCCCACCCCTCCCGCCCTCCCAGCTGCCAGCCAGCCTAGTCCAAGGCACTGCATCCCTGAGGCTTCTGAAAGGATCCATCTCTTTTCTTTGAAAGGGCCAGTGACTTCCAGTCTGGCTGTACATTGGAGTCTCTCGGGAGGGGGTTTAAAAATCCCAGTGCTGGGATGCCTGGGTGGCTCAGTTGGTTAAGTGTCCATCTTCGGCTCAGGTCATGGTCCCAGGGTCCTGGGATTGAGTCCCGCATTGGGCTCCTCAGTCAGTGGGGAGCCTGCTTCTCCCTGCCCCAGCTTGTGTGCACGCTCTCTCTCTCTCTCTCTCGGACAAATAAACAAATAAAATCTTAAAAAAAAAAATCCTAGTGCTCATGGGGCAGCTGGGTGGTACAGTCTGTTAAGTGTCCGACTCTTGGTTTTGCCTCAGGTCCTGAACTCAAGGTCGTGAGATGGAACTCCGCACGGGGTTCTGCTCTCGGCGGGGAGCCTGCTTGTGACTCTCTCTCCCTCTGCCCCTCTCCCTGCTCTCCCTCTCTCAAATGAATCAATAAATCTAAAAAAAAAAAATGTACAGGACCCACAACTGAATGAGAACCTCTGAGGGGCGTGGCTCACATCCTTAAAAGCTCCCCAGGTGACCCCATGTGCCGCAGGAGCAAGAGCCATCAGCACGTATAGCTGTAATACAGAATATATCCCACCGCTGTGCTCGACCCTGTTCTACAACGTGCACACATGTCCCCAGACCAGCAGCACCTGGGACATCAGCTCTGCACTCATCAACGTGGGGAATCACAGGCCCCACCCCAAAATTACAAACTCAGAATTCTTACTTTAACCAGACCCCCAGATGATTCCAACGCACACCCTAGACCGAGACGCACTCAGACAGGAATCCAAAATGAGGAGGAGGAAGGGCCGCTTCAACCACAGAGGGAGGCATGCTCAGAGATGCAGCCAACAGGGGCTTGTTGCCTCTGTGGGAGAGGGTGACACGACTGCACAGAAATGACATAGGTCATTATCTACCACCAGGATAAGAAGGGACAAAAGCCTGAGCCTGCCTACCCCAAATGTCTTCCTCACCATCTTCCCCAACATGGCTGACGCTTCCCATCATCGGGTCCCTAATTAGCCAGACACCATGAGTACACATCTAACAGTTCTCCCAGTATAGCCCCTGGACCAGCAGCATCGGCACCACACTGACTGAGTCCGAACTCTAAGGGCGGCTGCCGTGGTCTGTGTTACCAAGCCTGACTCTGATGCATGGGGGAGTTGGGGAAACACTCCTCAAGCCTATCAGTAGAGATCATCAGTTTAGGGTGATTGTGAAATGACGTCCTTAGGAGGTACTGGGGTTGGCAATGGGCAGAGACAGAGGAGGGGATGGAAGGATGTGAAAGATACTGGGTCCCTGGACATTGTCCTAAGAGAAGTCACAGACCAGCATTACCCGTTACATCCTGGGGACACATGGAGTCTCCACACCTGCTGGCGAATGGCCTTACACCCTCCTTGTCTGGAAGCCTTAGCGCAGGCGGGTGACAGGACCGTATCCAAATGGTCTGAGTGGGGACTGGGCTGGCTTACATCAACTAGCCGTGGAGAAGCCACGGCTCTGTTCCTCATAGTCACTTATGCTTTCCAAGGACTTTTTCCCCACATAATATCTAACCTCATCCAACTGGGAGAGGGTAGAACACAAGCAAGCACGCATGGGCTTTGCAGGTCAGCACACCTGCTTTCAAATCCTGCTCCCCTCACGTACCTTAGAAAAGGGAAGAGGGGCTCATTCCCGGTGATACAGGATCGCTGGGGGAAGCAAATGAAATAATTGTGTAGAACGTACTTTAGACAGTGAGTGGAATGGAAAATGGAGGGGGAATATGATGCCACCACGTGAGTGCTTACTCTGCAGAGTCCCCCACTGCCCACAATGTCAAAATCTTCGGAGGGAGTAGGAGGTCTCCCAGGGACCCGGCTGCCTGAGAATTCCCTCAAGCTCATGCAGAAGGTTTTCCAGTACAATGCAGAAGATCCAGTCTCCTAAAACAGCAACCCAAGTACCACAAAAGATGAAAAGTTTAAGCATAAAAATAGAGGGCTCCCGTGAGGAATGGGAAGGGGCCAAAGGTCTCTTTCCAATTAAGCCCTGGAATGAGAGTCAGATCCTTTGTCAAAGGCAGCAAAAGCCTGGAATGTCTACCACGGAGGCTACAGCCCAGATAAACTAATGGGGAAGCAGAAAGGACCGCCAAGAGTGTTGCCAGTTACAGCATGATTACGGGTGCTGGCTTTTTCATCTTCAATTTCTGGTCCTGACAGCCAGCACACACAACATCATTTAAGGCTGATCTCTTCTGAATGGTGATGAGTTACAGTCTTGATGGGATTTAAAGCTGTGGGCTTCCTACGGAGCGATAATGATTGAAGTGGAAAATAAAAAGAGTTATCAATTCCAAATGTCATTGAAGTAGACAGTGGGTCCAAATTTCAATTTCCCACTGCAGCTGAGAACAGCCTGCCCGATGAGGACGGACTCATCACATGCCAGGGCGCGGCGGACTTGGGGGCCCCCATCAGCTCAGATCGTGGGCTCTGGGGCCAGGCTGCCTGCGCCTGAATTCCGGCTCTGTCACTCCTGCTGCCAAAACCCTGGTGCAAGAACCGTAACCGCCCGGTGCCTCGGTTTCTGCCTCTGCAAAATGGTACCTCCCTGGGAGGATTCTGTAAGCTCATTCGTGTAAAATGAGAGGACAGGGGTAGCATACACTGAGAGCCCAGTAATGGTTATTCTCACTGTCGTTGCGACAAGCTGCTGGCAGAGAGCACAACCGTGCAGGCTGAGATGCTCAGAAACTGGACAGCCTACAAGTCGGCAAGCGGATGCTGTGAAGACCAGCACGGCGTGGAAATTTTCTAACATGGTTATAGCTGCGTGGGGCCAGTGGGGTCATTAACCTGAGCCGCAGTCCTGGAGGGCGTCACTAACAGGGGGAGTGCAGGGAAGCTCAGGCAGAGAAAAGAAGAGCCAGACCAGTGGGGTGGTAGATGGGAAGTGCAAGAGGCAGGAGAGGGGAGAGAACGTGATTGGACGGAGGGTTGGTAGGAAGTCTGTACTCCCATGGGGTCTGATGTCATCGATCCAGGCGGAGGCCCAGGCATGAGCATCTTCGAAGCCTCTCAGGTGAGCAGTACAGGACCCATGCCATCCCATGCAACTGGCCGTCGTTCTCGAAGTGTGGTCCTTCCCCCTACCTCACTGGCATCTCTTAAGAACTCAGGACATTATTCACACCACCCCCACCCCAAAATTCACTCACTTTTTAACACTCAACATTTATGTGGGTTTTTAAAAATTTCTTTGAGAGACAGAAAGGGCAGAGTGAGAGGGTCCCAAGCAGACCCTGCACCCAGTGTCAGCCCGATGTGGGGCTCGATCCCACGACCCTGAGATCATGACCGGAGCTGAAATCTATCAGACGCTCAACTGACTGAGCCACCTAGGCGTCCCTGACACTCAACATTTAAAAAGGAAATGTTGGGCGGCTGGGTGGCTCAGTGGGTTAAAGCCTCTCTGCCTTCGGCTCAGGTCATGATCTCAGGGTCCTGGGATCAAGCCCCGCATCGGGCTCTCTGCTCAGCGGGGAGCCTACTTCCCCCTCTCTCTCTGCCTACCTCTCTGCCTACTTGTGATCACTGTCAAATAAATAAATGAAATCTTTAAAAAAAAAATAAAAAGGAAATGTGAGAAAATAAGTCAAGTGGAGAGAGTCAATTATATGGTTTCACTTATTTGCGGAGCATAAGAAATAACACGGAGGACATGGGGAGATTGAGAGGAGAAGGGAGTTGAGGGAAATCGGAGGGGGAGATGAACCATGAGAGACTATGGACTCTGAAAAACAACCTGAGGGTTTTGAAGGGGTGGGGGGTGGGAGGTTGGGCCAGCCTGGTGGTGGGTATTAAGGAGGGCACGGATTGCATGGAGCACTGGGTATGGTGCATAAACAATGAATTCTAGTATACTGAAAAGTAATTATAAAAAAATAAAACAAATGAAAAGGAAATGTGTCCCTCTGATAAATGGAAACCAAGATTGTCTGCTCCAAGGAGAAAGGAACCATAAAAATAGAGACGATGAGCATCTAACAGGTCTTTCCTTCCAGCCCACACACTTGCCTGAGGCCGGCTCTTCACCACAAAGGGGAGACCAAAGCACGCTGAGTGTTAAGGACATTCCGGACCCCCATGGAGTCCCTCTCTCCACCTTACAACCAATGAAGGAAAACTGGGAAGAGAGTATCTTTCTCACCAGGTCATTTAACGCTTTCTAACGTCAGCTCAGGACCCGCAGGAAGACTTGGAGCAGGAGTGGGATCCTCCCGTTGGCTCCTGCCCTGCATGTGGGAAGCCTGGGCCAAGTCGGAGGCACAGAGGAAGGTGACCTCTGAGACCTCTCGCGGGTCTGAGAACAGACCTGGCACGGGTCCCACGGCTCACTGTCTCCCATCTTCTGCGAGAGCCACACTGTTCGGACCCACAGACTTAAGACAGGAGAAACCTCGGCTTCTGTGTAAACTCTTGAGGATGGGACTCCTTTGGGGAAAAGCCCTATGATGTCGGCTTGAGTTCGGAGAG